AAACCCTTGAGGAACACATGTAAAGCACCAGTGTCTTTCCATAAATCTTTGTTTCTAGTTCAGCTAATCCTAACAAACCGAATTATAAAGATTGGTTACTAGCAAGTCTGTATCCACTTCAGAAGAGACTGCCGACCATCCTATGTACAAAGAGCTAAGTATATGGTAGCCAAGAAAGACTGGACATGCATCTGGGGGTTGAGATGGAATTAATTCCCTGCCATGGAAAAGCTACAAGCTGGCCACTTAAATGCAAGAAAAGGGAGTTCAGTATAACTAGCTGCAGAGTTGGAGGGGTGTAACACTAGCTAGTGACCAACAGCTAGCAGACTGTCAGGGTCAAAGATGGAGTTGGAGATAGACAGAGAAGAGCCCCAACCATTTCTAATTGGTAGGCGGTGCTGGGCCAGGAGGATAGGTAAAGAACATGTGGGCACTCCATTCACTTAGTCCATTATAGCTTGGAATTAACCACTCTAAGATTGTCTCAGTATTCGTCCAATTTTTTCTATTGGTCTATAAAACTCTTAGACAACACTGGTGTGATGCCTCATTGGTAAAGGTGCTTGTGGCTGAAAGTCGATGACCTAAGTTTTGAGTCTCAGAACCCATATGGTAGAAGGACAGAACTTCTACAAGTGGTCTACTGATCTCCACATAATTGGCTTTGTATGGCCCTCCTCCAGATAAATAAATAAAACCCACCTTCGATGAAATAAATCCAACAGCTTTTCTCAATCTTGCAAACTCCTTCCATTCCTGGAGGTTCTCTCACTCTTTTTAATTGCTTAGACTACTTTGCATACTCCCACAAGAGTTAGCATCATTAATGTTCTTTGGCAACTACCGTGGAGTCACTGTCCAAGGTCAATCTTTGATAACAGACAGTCAGTGTCCAGGATCTTAGGTCCTTAGGACATGCACAAAGAGACTGAGAAAGGTACCACAACACTGAAATCTCCTGTATCATCCGCATTTATGCACATTACATCTTGGGTATACGATGCTCTGCCTTTGTTTAGGATATGCTTTAGCAGCATCAGAAAGAAATTAGCCAGGTCACTTGTTTGATCTCTTAGCTATTCTCCTAACCCATTCACCTGTAACACAAAACTCCTAACTCTATCCACTTGGTTATTGATGGCTCCAACCTGTTTCACTGGTTTTCACTGTTCCTAGTTTTTCTGGAAGCCTCTTAACAATAACCATAACTACCCTCCTCAATGTACATACAGTACCATTTTTGTAGAGAGATACACAGATGTTCAAGAACTAATCCCCACCCCCACCAAACTTACCTATTTGCTAAAACATGTTTTCTATCTGTTAACTATGAATAGCTTAGTAATTGAGATAACAACTGAAGTTTTGTGTATAGGACTTTGTGTGTGTGTGTGTGTGTGTGTGTGTGTGTGTCTATCTGTCTGGGGATCAAGTCTAAGGCATTATACATGCAAAGCATGGCTCAGTGAGTAAGGAGACTGCTATGCAAGCTGGAGCAACTGGGTTTAGATCTCCTAGTCCTAATGTAAAAGTTAGGCTCAACAGCATTCATTGCTGAGGGGTGGAATGAGATGGTAACAAAAGGATCATCGAGACTTACTGGCCAGCCAGTATACCTTAGTGGGCAAACTCCATGTTTGGAGAAACCCTGTCTCAGAAAACAAGGTGGAGAGTGACAGAAGGCACTCCATGTCGACCTACAGCCTTTACATGTAGTGCACACCCATGCGCACATGAACCTGAACACACACAATTTTCAAGAACTTATGGCTTTCCAGAAACATCTTGTACTTAAAGATCTGTAACTACCAATTGCAGTTGTGCTTGTGGCATGCAGATCAGCACAGAGGGACATAAGTCTCTCTCAGGTGGCTTCTTTGTCTTCCCCAGATCAGAAATTTTCACAGCATCCTGTTTTCGGAGGATGGCAACTTCCAGGCTATCCTGACTTCCCTATATTGCTAACAATGGAATCTGCTTCTTTGACTGGACCTGACTATGGGCCACTGAAAAATCTCATATTAGCGTCTTGGTACTGGGTGAGATATGGAGATCTATGGGGAAATGGCACTCTATGGCCCATACTGCTTCCTAAGGTCACAATCATATCTATAGTAACAGCTCATGCTGTTCTGGTGTGACTGTATCTGTGGTAGTGGGGAAGCTAACCCCGAGCCTTGTACACATCAAGTTAATAGATTTTGACAACACCTCCATTTAGGCTTTTAGCATGTTAATTAAAACTCTCTTTCTCTCCTTGGCTTTTAAGAGTTGTGTGCCTCCAAACCCATATGTTAAGGTCATATGCATCCTTTTTCAGAACTGCTTTCAATCAGCACCTTATAAAATTTTGTATATAAACTGTGTTTTTATACAAATGCATTTGGCAACTATTGATATACTTATTTAAAGTTGACACAAATATATTTAGTTATGCAAGTGAGCTATGTTTCTCATATAACTAAATCTCATCTTATATCCATAGATTTGACACCAAATTCCTTTCTGAGCTACCCTGAAAGGTGGACTGCCACAAGCAAGCAAGCTGGGACTTATCTCCTCTAGGAATCATTAGAGCAAGGCACTATTCATTATGAAATTCTCTGTGATTTACATTTAATCACACTAATGTTTCTCTGTTATTTGAAGGAGTCTAGAAATGTAAAGATTACAAATGCCAGTCAGGGCTCAGTGGGTAAGGTGCTTGCTGCACAAGCGTGAGGTCCTGAGTCGGCCTCCTCAGCACCTACAAACAAACAAACAACCTAGCTGTGGTGATTTTGTAATCTTAGGGCTGAGAGAGAAAGGAGGATCCTAGGGCCAGTCAGTCTAGCCAAACAATGAGCTCCAAGTTCGGCAAGAGGCCCTATCTAAATGAGGTAAACAGTAACAGAAAAAGAGACCTAAAGCCAGCCTCTGGCTTCAATGTGCACACTCATGGGTTCACACACACAAAAGTGTAAATCATCCAGGAAGGCAAGGAGCCAGCTGTGGACTGTGTCTCTACTCAAAACAAAAAACAACACAAACAAACAAAACCCAAAACCAAAAAAACCCACCAAAAACCAAAAACTGGGTTTCCTACCTTTCTTTACTAATTTCCTCCTGAGAGGGGCCAGCCCAGTTCCTGGGAACAGATGCCCAGGAAGTCTTTTCTGTCTGATGAATGGGTTTAAGAAATGAATAGTAGAGAAAAATCATAGCTACCCAGAAAACCCCAAGACCATCATCTATAGTCAGTTTCTTCTTGCTTTCTTCTAAAATTTGGATCTAATCTCCTGAAGCAATTGAGGAGGTTTGAGATATATTTTAAATTGCTTCATTTCCAAACTTATTTTGGTTAAAACATTCAGCAGTAATGGATCCACCTGCTAATCAATAAATAACATTTCAATGCTGCTTTAAGAAAGGCAGTCAGGCACAAAACCAACATTGTCAGCAACCAGAACAACTCTCATTTCCTGACAGAAATTACTGTAAATATTTGTAGTTCTAAAAGGAAAGCACATCAGTGCAGCAGTTCGGACGGTTCATTTTCAAATTAAAGATGCTGGTGTTTTCCCCAACATCCCAGACATCTGTGAGGCAGGATTTAGAGGTGAAGCAACTATGGTTCTTCCTCCCACTGTGCCTATTGGGGCTTGCTAAGGCAAACACAAGGAGGATGGAAAGCTGGGTCCACACATTTCATGGGCTGGCTGTGTGACAACCCCCCTCAGTACCTGTCTCTTTCCCACCTGTACAGTGAAATAAAAGAGATGCTTTTGAACATGTACTGAACAGAAAAAAGAATAGATTACAACAGTCATCTTAATGCTCACTACCCGAAGGCATCTCAATGGTTGGAAAAAAAAAAAAAGTGCTAAACAAAATGAATGAGCCCATTCAGTGGCATTACTATGCAAGCTGTGGTGGGAAGACAAAAAGATCCAGGGACCATTGCTACAACTCTCTCTGCTCAGCAAACTCAGTCCATGACAGAGAAGGCCATGCAAACGGGTAGTTGCACCTGAATGTGGGGAAGGAGTAAGCGACACAAGGCCTTGACCTGTGAAAAGTACAGGCAGAAATCTAGGTCTGTTTGATGAGCATTTCAAGTTCAACAGCACGGAAGGGTTATTCCCAAGAAACACTATCGTTTCAGGAGCGCTGTAAAAACAAATCAGTGTTGCCTAGACGCCGGGAAAATTTCCGCGTCTCATTTCTGTTCTACGTCTTTTAAAGTTATTTTTGACTTGTTTCTGCAGGTGTGGAGTTTTCTTTACCATGGTCAATTTAAAAATAAGTCCTATTTTAAGGGATAACTGTGCTACCGCAAATATGATTGTTATTATTTACACGTTTATTCGCCAACTTAAACTCATTCCCAGTTTCCAATGCTGAAGCGCTGACCAAGACAGACCAGGACAAGTGACTGCGAAGTTGGCAAGAATAAATCCTACTAAAATTACTTGGGACAGACACTTCCTACAGTGTGCGCGCAGGGGTTGCGGGCACGGGAGTCTATGCTCCTAACATAAAAAACTGGAAAGGTGGACACTGAGCTTCCAGGGAAACAATAAGCGAGGCACGGTCGCAGCAAACCCGGCTCCTTCCAAAGAACGGGAGAGGAACCACGTCCTCACGTGAGCCTGCACGCCCTGCCTACCTGTGCCAACTACACCTAGCCAAACAGACGGACAACTTAGGGAACAGAGCCCCGAAGAAGTTAGTGTGCAGACGGGTGCACCAGCGTGTCCGCTCGCCCCTCGCAGCCATCCCCCTACGGTGCCGGATTCAGGACACCGCCACTCCTGACACCCACGTTCCGGAATCACCGCTTCCCTTCCCGGGTGTGGCTCAGAACAGCGCGCAGAACGCCGGGACCAGACGCACACGCCAGCGCTGGCGCCGAACATGCGCAGTGTGCCTCGGGTGCCGAGGGCGGTTCCCTATTGCCGACGTCGCTACGCAGGCGCCGCGGATCCCCCGTGGGGAGGAGGGCGAAGACTCCATCCGCCATGTTGGATGCCGCAGATTCGCCATAACCTCTCCGGCTCGTTCCCTAAAAAAATAAAAATAAAGAGCGAAGTTTCCTCAGGGTGTCCGGCCTTCTCGCTCGGCACGGGAGGGAGCCAGGAAGGGCCCGAGGCTTTTTTTTCCTCCGCCGTAGGGGCGTTGCCATGGAGACGCGGGCGGCAGGTGAGCCGGGATGGGGGCTGGGGCGCGACGGGGGGGGGGTGGGGCGCGGCGCGGGAAACCGCTCGTGGTGAGCTGGGGAGGCCGCGCGCAGGCTCGGGGCGGCGGAGGGATCCGCGGGCGGGCGGAGCGCGGACGTCGTGGCGTTCTGCGACCCACGTTCGGGAGCTGGCTTTATCCTGCCGCGGCGGGGGCTGGAAAGAGGAAACTAGTGGAGAGCCAGCGGGGATCGCTGTGCGCGCGAGTGTTCGCCGGCCAGTGGGCGGTGACGGTGCGCCCGCCAGTGGCGAGCCGCTTATGCCTGGTTGGGCAGGTGTTCGAATCCCGAAGCCTTCAGCTGTTTGGCTTGGCGAGCTTGGTCTGAGTTGGCTTCTTGTCTAGTCACAGTTAACCCGCTGTAAAGACGATGATTCCCCCCCTCCTTCATTTCCCCCCAGCTATCAACCCGGGGTTCTTGTCCAGGACGTGTTGAAAGTTCAGTCTTTTGGGGGAAAGTTTCCTACCGACTCTCAGAGGGAGCAGTAAATGAAAGAGATTGGCGTTCTCACGGGTGACCCTGCTCCATGCAAGTAGTAATTTACCTTCTGTCTTTGGCACAGTTCTGTAGGGCATTGTCCCTCATGCTCTTAAATGAAATGGCTCCAGGGCCGCCACCTCCGGGCATCCCTCAGACTGTCTAGCCTGGAGCAGCTTCTTTGGTTGGACTTATTGGAAGGTTGAGGGTGGACTTTTCCATTTAACCTCTGGCGTCCCCCGTCCCACTTAACCATGAACTTGTGACCCTGGTTTGTGATTGACACCAATTTCGACTATTGGAACCCCACTTCTGAGGTCCATTGCCAGTGTCTCCTGGTTGCTCTTAATTGGTGGTCAGTTACTGCAGAACAGAAAAGTTGAGAGTCCAGATTTCTAACAACCACGGCTTAAATCAGACTTCTTCCAGCTTGGGATAGAATGTGAACCGTATGTTTGCTTGGCTTTTGCCACTGCCCCCTGGAATTCTGACAGCCTCATTGTAGGGGCTACTGTGTATTGAAGGACAGAGGGAAGGAGCTGTCTGGCTGGTGCTGCCCTACGGTATGGTTCTCTGTGTGGTTTTCTGCTGGAGTCTGCGTTCATGGGGAACAGAAACATCAGGCTCCTGGACCTCCCTTCCACACCTCCCCTGCCCAGCTTTAGCTTCAGAACCTATCACTGTATCTGTATCTAGAATTAGAGTGTCTGTTGGTGCTTCAGTTATCTTTTTGTTTCCAGCCATGACAAATAAAGTAGGGTCTTAGTTTGAACAAAATGTACTTCTGTCAACTCATGGGCAGCTACTTTCTGGGAAATTTTCTGTTTTGGTGTCAGTTAACTTAGGAGAGGCAGAGTGAGAGATAAGGGGATGGAAGGGCAGCTTTGGGTGGTAAACAAGCTGGGGTGGTCATTGCCCCAGTTAGAACTCTGGTTTGTCTTGGTCGCTTTTTCATGGTATCTCATTTGCTTCTGGTGCAAAGGTTTCTGCTGTCGTTTCCCCTCTCACCTTGTAATTTACATACAGCTTTTCGGCTTTAGCTGCCCCTGAGTAGAATTTAGTGGCTGCACAGGTCAGGCCTAGTCAGGATTTGGCGTACTAAACTGATTTTCCTAATTGCATTTTCTTTTATAGATGTTTCATGCATGCTGCCTCGGAAAAAAGCTCTGTATCAAGATGGGCCAATTTAATTGAGGATTTAGCCTAGAGTCATGTTTGTACCTTGTCACCTATTTGTGCTGTTAAGCTTTTGGCATGTGAAACTTTCCAAGGACAGGTTTTCCTCTCAGAGGCAGTCACTGGAGAGATCAGCATTGCTGGAGAGATCAGCTCCTGAGGTTGCTGAGGCCAGGGGCCCTAGCTTTTGCACTTGCTGAGGGCCACAGCTTCTAGTGCCTCTACCTTTTTTTTTTTTTTCCAAGAAGCGGTGGCATTGCGCTCAGCATGACTATCAATTTTTTTTTTTAATGACTTTTTTTGAAGAGGGGAAAAAAGTAATTTTGGAGTGAAGAAAGTGTGCACAGCTATAACTGTCAACATTTGGTTCTTTCAAATGTTAAAAAGAACAAAAGCAATCCTGCCACTCACCTGTTTTACATTAATATGCCACCTGGCCTAGAACTTAGACAGATCTGACTGTCTCTGCCTCCTCAGTGCTTGAATTAAAGGCATGTACAGCTTTAAGTTGATTCGTTTTTTTTTTTTAAGATTTTTATTTTATTTTATTTTTGTATACAGTATAGTGCCTGCATATGTGCCTACAGGCCAGAAGAGAATACCAGATTTCATTATAGATGGTCATGAGCCACCATGTAGTTCCTGGGAATTGACCTGTGGAAGAGCAGCCAGTGCTGTTAACCTCTGAGCCATCTCTCCAGCCCCTAGGTAGATTCTTAACCTGGGCTGTTGTTCCTAGTTTTTCGATGAACATGGGAATACAGATGTCTCTTTGCCTGCTGGTTTATAATATTCTAACATCTTTAACTCTGTGACGACTGGGTTACAAAACACTGACTTCTGGAATCTGGTGGCTCTATGTTGCAACCTGTCTGGACAGAAGAGGGCGTGTAGGTGGGGACCTTGCTTCAGAGGATAGTGAACAGAGCTGCTGTCCCACAATACAGTGAGGAACCAGGAGCCAAGGAGCACAGGGAGCTTGTGGTAGCTGGCACCTCTCAGTCACCAGTCTCTTGAAGTCTCTAGACAGCTAGAATCGTGGTGTCCACATTGCTCCATTGCTGCCAATGGGCCTTCATGAGTGGCCACCATTTCTCATGCCCTTAGGTCTGTTCTTATTCTTTAGCAGCATAGTCCCTATCGCTCAGATGTTTGCCATACTCTGTAAAGGTCCTGTCCCTCTTGAGGGTGTCACACAGGCATAGAAGTAGAAAAACAGTTTCTCTTTAGAAGATATCAGGAGCTCTGATATGAGCTCTGAATATCAAAGATTTCAGTCGGGCTCCATGTAGGGATTCTGGGAAGGCTTCTTGAAGCATGAGACAAAGGAGTTGGGTCTTGTGAGTGACTAGATACCAACTAAAAGGAGAAGGTGGGTGGTAAGACAGGTGACACAAGAACTACAGCTCTCATCTTTATGGGAATAAAAGATAGTTTATTCTGGAGTCATTTTGAGTGACCCTGGCCTGGAAGCACAGATTTCGGTCATTCCAAATTCCATGTTCCAATGTGGAAGCAGTTTCATGAAGTTTGTACAGTGTTACAGGACAGAGAAAGTCATAAATCAAGGCAAGCTTAAAGTACATTGTGAGTATATCAGAGACGCAGGTATATCAAGACAGGAGTCTTCCGATGTGCTCAAGATGCTATCTGATGATATTCTGAGCTTTTGGGTTTGTAGAAGCTAGTTGCCTGCTAAGTCAATAGATTCTAAAAGGTTTTTTTTATCTGTTGTCACAGACGTTAGTTCTGACACCTGTGTGTTTGTGTGTGTGTACGTGTGTACACAAATGTGTAGGTGTGTGTAGGGGACACAGAAATGGCTGTTCCAAAGCTTATCCTAAGATAAAGTAATTAGTTTCTGGACTTGCAACATTCCAGTCTCTCCACAATGCTGAAATTCTAATCAGCTAATCAGTCACAGCCAGGTGCAGCTTCTTTTCAGAAGTTTTCCTTCATGTGTACCTACAGGTGCTTTCTGTGCATTGAAACTGGGGCAGGGGCACTGGAGCCTGTGACACTGAGATACAGAGGTGGGAAGCTGTTGGGAGTTTGGCATGAAAACCTTGAGAGCCAGGAGAACAGTGCCTGCTGACTTGCCTTTTGGAAAGAGTTCTCTGGTGCCTGTCAGGAAGCATTTTTTTTTAAACATTTATTTATTATTTATACAACATCTGCCTGCACTTGAGAAGAGGGCACCAGATCTCATTATAGATGGTTGTGAGCCACCAAGTGGTTGCTGGGAATTGAACTCAGGACCTTTGGAAGAACAACCAGTGTTCTTAACCTCTGAGCCACCTCTCCAGCCGTAGGAGGCATTTTTTATAGTTGTGATTTAGTAGATGAAAGCACACAGATTTATTGTATAGCCAGTACTCAGTAAGCCACAGCCTTAATGATGTATAGGACTTTTTTAATTACCCCAGAAAATTTTCTGTTGTTCCTTCACACCCAGACTTCATCCCTCAGTCGAAACAATGCTGAGTCTTAATTGACATGTGCCCTTTGGAGGATGCCACATAATCCTTTTGTGTCTAGGTTTTTTTTTTTTTTTTTTTTTTTTTTTTTTGCAAGAAGTTTCAGAAATTCACAAAATAAGTTTTGAAATTCACAAAATTCAAACAAAATTTTGTTTGTTTTTGCTCTTACTGCTTAATGGTATTCCAGTGCCTGGAAACCATCACTGTTTGCATGTTTTTTTCTTAATAAATACCTGGGCTGTTCTCATGTTTCCAGTTTTGGGTTCTGTCAAATCTTCTCTGATTTGTTACTTCTTCTGCCCATTCATTTAGACATCACTTTTAAACATGGGTGCTTCCTTTTACAAACTGTCTTTACCTTCATTGTTTGAGATTAAAGGCGTGTACCACCACACCTGGACCTAAGTTTTTCTTTATTTGAAACTTGTTCAGTACCAGGCTGGCCTTGAACTCAGATCTGCTTGCCTCTGTCTCCTGGATTAAAGGTGCTTTTGTGTTCCAGCCAGATCACACAGACCTAGAAAATCTTTGGATGTCATCCCTTGCCAGAGCAGCCATTCTGGATTAAAATTCCTCTGCACTTCTCCCAGTTATCCTGTTGTTGCCCTCTGTTGTGGGGATCCTGCAGCTTTGGCTCATAGGACCAGCTCTTTCACTAACCCCAACAGTTTACAAATGTTGTCGATTTTGGAGAGTGGAAACTCAAAGCCCTGAATCTGGGCCTGGGTGGTAGCTGAGCTGGTCAGCGTGCTGGCTTTCTCTTATCCTTTCCACCAGGGTGTGTTCTCCAGCACTGCTCCCACTAGGCTGCCCAGTGCCCATCAGCAGGAGGC